AGTGGTGCCTCCTCCAGCCACGGCAGACCTGGGCTACCCACCCCCACCCGCCCCCACACTCGCCTGCAGTGTGAAGTCATCCCGCTGGGCTGTGCCCACCGCGTCTGTGCCTGTCTCCCCACGAGCCTCCCGGCCCCTGAGGAGCAGGACCTCAGCTTTTCCCATCTGTATTCTTAGCACCTCGTCAGGGCCTCGTCAGGCATCAGTAGCAATGAAGTGAAAGAGTTCAGACTACCGCAGGGGCAGTGCAGGCTGCTGGCAAAGAGCTGGGGCTCCCTGACTTGAATCCTAACACCGTTACTAATTACCGGCGTGAACCTCAGTTTCCTCATCAGGAAAAGGTGAGTAAGAAGAGCACCTCCTGGAAGGATTACTGTGCAGGGTACAAAGACAGAATGCAGCCGGAGGCCGGCGGATGGGGTACGCAAGGAGGACCTGGAAAGTGAGCACGGACTTTGCTCATATTCGAGCAGCTCCCAGGTGAGGCCTGAAAACCTGGAACACAGAATACCCACTTTGGCGTGAGGGGCTGACACAAGTCACCTTGATGCCAAAGGGGAGCACAGCTGGGCACCGCAGTGGCAGCCGGCGGAGGCTGCAGGAGGCAGTTACAGAAACACGCACTGATGGGACAAGTTCGCATGGGAAGCCCTCCCTCTTCGCTTCTGCCAATCATCACCCTGCTGTCAGGAAGAGGCGCTGATCTACCGGCCCCTGAGCCCCATCTGCCTTCTGGAGGGAGGGCTCCAGGCCCTCCCTCTGCTCTCTGCTCGCAGGCTGCCCACAAGGCACCTCCCACACGCCTCTGCCAAGACTAATTCATGTTCCTCAGGTACTCCTACTGCAAGTTTCCTTTTTCACAGAATGAGAGGCTGAAATCACTTTGAATGTTTCATAAAGCAAACAATCTAAGGGAGGCCGGGTGGGGAGGGAGGGAAGAAAACATCAAATATGTCACCGAACAGCCTAATAAAGCACTTTCATATTTCAGGGCTCCCTGTAATTTTCACATCAGTCTTTATGATTTGTAAGCTAAGTGAATGAAAGGAGGGCTTTGCCACAGCCGTGCTCCCGAGCAGACCACCAGCTGCACATCAAAGAAACAGTTCCCGTCTCACCTCGGTTCCTGGCAGAGGGCAAACACCAAGCCCTAAAGAGAACTGGGACGGCTAAGGCTCTGACTGGGATGCCAACTCCCCCACCCCACCCCTGATAGCGCCCCCTCCCCAGCACCTTTCCCAATCACTTGACTATAGGGGCTAAAAAGCAAGCCGGCCTGCTTTCCTAGTCTCCCTGAGGCTATGTCCATATGACACAAGCGGGGCTACCAGAACATGGGTGGAATTCTGCTGAGGGAAGGAGGGGTTCTGGGGAAGTTCTTGTTTTCCAGATAAAAGACACAGTCACTCCTACTTCCCTGATTACTTCCCTGTATCTGGAATAGAAATGTGATGTCTGGAGCAGCAGCAACGACCTTGCAACTGTGAGGTGATAGACTGGAAGGAAAGGCCAGGAGAATCACTAAGCTGCCCATTCTGAGCCTTACCCCAGTTCAGCAACTGGGACTTCTCATAACTAAAATTTTCAGTTACTTGCAACTGGAAGCAACACTAGCTGATCTAAATCTCATCCTTATCTTAACAACAGGACCTCTTCACTAAGTTCAAGAATATATGATCATACCCGGTCCTGAAGTAGATGCCTTATCTTATTTGACATCCAAGTTGTGGACCTATTTATCCAAATACCTCTTATTTGTATATCTCTACTCGAATGTCTCACATCCACATAAACACAAAAGCATCTGAACTATGTCTCTTCCAGGACTCCCACCCTACTCAACAGCATAACCACCATTTACTGTTCAAGTTAGGGCCTTTGTGATGACACTATACCCTACATACTCGCACCCAATATATCACCATGCACTGGAGATTTTACTGTCTGAACATTTTCCCCACCTACCCATTTCTCTCTACTACTTCCTCCTCAGTCTAAGTTATACATGCCTGGCCATCTCGACAGCATCTTCCCTGGTTTATCTGCACCCACACTTGTCCTTTGCCCAATGATTTCACAAAAACATAAATCTGGGGTCCTTCCTGGTGGTGCAACAGGTTAAAGCGCAGCACTACGAAGTCAGCCACAGATGCTTCAGCACAAGTTCGAACCTGGCCAGGGAACTGACCCACAGAAGACCTCTTCTGACCCGCCCGCTGCTCCCCTCAGCAGTGTACTTTGTCAGTCTGCCTGTTCTGATCCCCACTCTGGTGAAGCCTCTCACTGCCCCTGCACATCTGGCCTGTACTTCAGTTGTGTGCATAAATAAATAAATCTTTAAAAAACAAAACATATATCTGACCATGTCATTTAAAATTCTTCGTTGGTTTCTCATGACCCCCAAAGATTCCTTAAAACCTCAAAGACTGATCTGATCCCCAGCCATATCTCCAGCCATATTGAGTCTCTCTCGGGCCTCTCTCAGTCTCAACTATAGTGTCACTCTTTCAGCTTCTCAAACTCATCACATGTATTTCTATTTTAGGCCTACCACATGGGGTGAGTTTCCTATATGGGGTGAGTGAGGAGGTTACCTTCCAGTTTTATGGCCTACTTAACTCTAGCTCATCCTCTACAGTCAAGTGATTTTTCCATTTGGGTTAGTGTACTTTTATGTGGAGTTCCAATTAGTTTTTAAAAAAACATTTCTACTTCTCTTCCAAGATCTGTTTATGACTAATTTTTTCTTCAAGTCCTAGCCTATTTATATAATAGATGCCTCTGCATTTATCACCTAATTCTAATCTCTTGGTCATCTCAGGGTCTATTTCTACTGGGCTGCTATTTCCCTCTTAATCATAGGTCATAAGTTTCTGGGGCTTTTTTAAAGTCTAGTAATTTTTCATTATATGTTAGACATTGCAGATGAAGCCAACCTCGCAGGGAGATTGGGATTGTGTTATCTACCACGGGAAGAGTTAACCTGTGGTTGGGAGGTCTTTCTGAACCTGTCAGGATTATTTTTACTTTTTATTTAGGTGAGTCTATTTTGATTTTGTCCTTGGTCCCATGGTGTTATCCATAATTCCACATATGGCCTTTTTGAGTTCTCAACTGCATACCTTTAGCTGGGCCATAACTGCAACATCTCCCAACACTGTGAAACCATGCCCCCACCTGGCTCCCCTATCCCCCACCATGCCTCTGTTCTGCTCTCAGTCCCACAGCAATCAATTGCTATTAGCCTGTGCATGTGCAGCTCTGCTTAACGATGTGAGTGAACATGGATTCTGCCCGCTCTTACCACTCCCATGACACTCTTCCTTCCCCTGATTTTCAGGGCAAACCAAGTGCTGACCTCCAAAGATAGCTTTTTCAATAAATCTGCACAAGAGTTCAGCAAGAACCAGGCGAGTCACCATGGTAACTAACCATTTCTGTTGAACAGTTGAAAATTCACAGCTGACAATTTGAAGAATAATGCCCCTCAGTTAGGTTATTACATTTCCAACAAGAGGCAGAGGTCAAAACAAAAGAACTAATTAGGTGGTCTTTCCAACAATGCCTATTACAGAGTCATTTGACAGGTCCTTGAGGTGACCTGGCATGCCTCCCGGTAATACAGTGGACCCTAACTGTCCGTAATAGGGGCTCCCACTGCCTGGATGTTATAGAAAGCAACACTCTCAGCTTTATTCTTCTCATTTGGTCTCCCAATATAACTTTGTGTTTAAAAGGAGCAAGGACTATGTTAACAAGTTCTAATGAGTAGTTTTCAAACCCATATGCTATTCTCTGCTGCGCTGTGACTAAATTATAATGGAAAAAGTCTCATTTATGACATGTCTTTTGAGTGAGAAAACCTGTGGGTCATACATCCATATGGCACTGGTATTATGATTGGCATACTGCAGTTTAAATTCAGCTAGGTTTGTAATGATCAGAGGTTATTTATAACCCAGTGCTTTCTCTGCATATAAGAAGCACAATATTGGATCTGATCCAAAGCCCATTTCTGTCCAGTACCCATTTTTAACAGAGTAACCTGTAGGCCACTGTGGAAGGGCACAACACTCCTGATGATGGTTAGCATAGGGGAAGAACTACCATGACAGACACCAACAGCCTTCGGAGATGGCCAGTCTCACACTAACAAATACAGTTTATTGAAATGCCATGTAAGTCTTCATGATTTGCTCTATATTTCTCTCTGGAGTTTCAGGGAATGATCTCTCAATTCCATATCCTGAAATTTCATAAAATTTTTTGGTAAATTCAAAGGATTCTTTGAATTTACAAGATGGTTCTGAAAAACACAAAGCCAGTTATTTCACCCAGGCTATGGTGAAAGAATGAGCAATAGCTTGGCTTTGCCTTGAATCTCTACATACAGAAGACCCAACAGGTACCTTACAGGCCACTAAGTCCACCCTCTCCTTTTACTGACAAGGAAACTGAGCCCCCAGGGACTCACGCCAACTATACTGTTAACCAGGAATTAAACAGGAGTTAAAATCCAGAGTTTTTGTTCCTTGATCTGTTCATCTCCACTCTGACCCTCCCTTGTGAAGATGGCCAAGCCTTTACTCCTTTTACATGATTTTCTCCATACAATCTGAAATTTCATTCTTTCTCGAATCTGACTAGAATTGCACAGATGAAGAGAACATTTTTTTTCTGTCTTTATTACTGATAGAATCACAGATAAAGCTGAATGCTTTTTGAACTCTACAGTTACATAGTGACTGAGTGTGTCCAAAGGTCAACAAACAACAGTCTACACTGACCACCAGCTACCATTCTTGACTTACAACTGGGAGTCCCAACACCAGCACCCTCTGAGTGATGCTGAGGCTCATGCACTTTATCTGCACAGCCGTGGCTCCAGGACGCCCCTTAGAAGTCACCCCCAACAATGAAGCTTTCCCATACCAAGAAGACCTTAGCGTTGTCTGCCAACATGAAGGGCATCACGGGGGAGCCTCTGGACTGACACTCACCTTTGCATAGGCAGTTGTCTTAATAAACCACTGTTTGAGGTACTTCTGTTCCACTTTTGCTCCAGAACGCCATGAACAGCCATTTTCATCCACCTGCTCATTGGCAAGCACTGTTTGATCCACTGGGTCCCAGTTAACCAAGGCCTGTTAGAATTCATGAAATAAAATGATGCAGTCTGGTAAGTATAGGGAATAGGGTCATTTTGAGGTTTGTCACATGCGAGAGAATCTACAAGCAACATCTCTGCTCTAAGGCTTGAAGTATTCTTGACAAAGAAACCATTAGCACGCTGGAAAAAGAACACATGAAACACGTCATCGATATTTCCACCATATTAGAACAGGCTCAGGAGGGAGGTCTTAAAGTGTGTGTCAAACTCAAATTTGGTATCTTCCTATATGAAAGAATTAACTCACATAGTTGGAAGTTTTCATAAAGAGGGGAAAAGAAAAAATGGTACCTAGAGTTCAGCAGAATTGGGTTATTGTAGAGTAAACATAAATACTCTAATATGAATAACATTTGTTGAGTACTTCCAATGTGTTACATGTTGTACTAAGTGTCTTACTAAGATTCTTTCTTTCAATCCTCACAACACTCTCTGGAACTACCAATATTATCCCCATGTTGCATACAAGGAAACTGAGGAACAGTGATATTAAATAAATTGCCTTTGTCACACAGTCAGTATGACAGGGAGTAGCTGAAATAGGCTGGGAACTCAGACATCTAGGAACTATAAAAATATAATGTAGATCAAATTTAAATGTATAGCTTTGTCAATTTTTGCTTGAAAAATATACTGATATAATTATTACTGAAATCAAGACAGAACATTTCCAGCTTCCAGGAAACACCATCATATCTACTCCCAACCAACATGCAAGCTGTAATTCCATAAATTAATTTGGCTGATAATCTATAGTCTTAAACATTACATAATCCTTTCCCCATAAATTCTAATCTGTTTATGTGAAAAACCCTTGTACACTATTGTTGGGAATGTAGACTAGCTCAGCCTTCTATGGAAGCATAGTATGGAGGTTCCTTAAAATAGATCTAGAATTAGATCTAACCTATGACCCAGAAATTCCACTCTTATGTATCTACCCAAAGAATGCAAAACACTAATTCCAAGGGATATGTGCATTCCTGAGTTCACTGCAGCACTATTTACAATAGCCAAGTTATGGAGACAACATAATAGCCCAATAACAGAGGAGTGGATTAAGAAGATGTGTATACATACAGGATGGAATACTACTCAGCTATTAAAATGGTGAAACCTGGCCATTTACAACGTGAGTGGACTGGAGAGGATCATGCTAAGTGAAATAATCAGGAAGAGAAAGACAGATATGGGATGGTATCACTCATACATGGAATGCAGAAAAACAAAACAAAGGAACTAATAAAACTAATCAAAACCAACCCTGGAAATATGACTGTAAAATCGAGGTTATTAGAAGGAGAAGAAGGGAAAGGACAAAGAGGCAGCCCACTGGTCTAAGGTAAGGGACCATAGGTGCTTTGGTGATGAGAGTGCTGTGGTGATATATACCTGCGTTGCTCCCTTAAATCATAATAGTGTTGTAAACCTCAATAATAACAGTAATTATTTTTCTGTTTAACTTAAAATAAATACCTCTATATCCACTTCTTAGAACCGTTAGCTACCATTTAGTACAGAAAAGGCAATGAGTTTAGAGAGATGTGTCTGGGCACTAAAATATCCTACCTTGAGACACATTGATTTTTAAAAATCAAATAAACAGTTCTAATAAGAGACTGTGCTAATTACTTTCCACGGGCCCATGGCTGGCACAGTCCACAGCCCCCTGGACAGGCCTCTCCTCCTGCTCCAGCCACGGCTTCCCCAGTTCCAGCAACTGCTGCTGACCCTGCCCCTCTGGGTAGGCAGCAGACTGCAGCGTGCTCACAAACGACCCCTTCCCTTGTTTCCTCAGTGACCCCTTCTGGGTGTGTCTTCTCTTTCCTGCTGGGATCCTGACTGATCCAGAGACATACCTGAAAACTACATTAAAATGTAGGGATGCAGACGAGACTAAATGTGAAGAGACTAACCCATCCGGGGACTGTGAATTTACAAGTAAAAAGTAGCACATCAATTAAGAGTTAAACCGTGAAGCCTAAAGGCAGATGGGAAAGACAGTCACTGAATGGTTCCCCTCCTTCCAGTCTCCCTAAGGCCTTGAATCCATAAATATATAGATGGAATAAAGGACAGAAGTTCTTGAAACCTAAACAATTCAGGTGAATAAGCCAGGGTGAGTACTGGCCTGTTAAAAGGGATGGGGTTGCCCATCTTAGGGGTTCAGGGCAGGAGGTGTCACTTCAAATAAAAGATATAAATAAAAAGCCAAGCACTGTTTATTAATGTGGATAGTCCTTTCAAGAGGCATCTCCCCCTAAAATACTCCATGCACATCAGAACTGTATAAAGTATGAAAGAAAGGGAGAAAAGCCCCATAAGCCTTCACCTTTGGCTCCTGCCGCCTGCCTGCCAGCTTCAGAGGAGACGGGTGAAGCAGGCGCTGAGTCCTGAAGCTGGGAAAACAAATAGGAATTCATTTCCTTATCAACATTTCCCACATGGCCTGGCATCTCTCAGGCTCTAGGTTACAAAAAAGCAATGAGGGAGATGTGTGCTTAAGAGGTTTACACGTTATAATAAAACCCTGATGTTGATCTCAAAGTCTATGCTGCTCCACTCCATCCAGAGACAAATAAAAGCAAACTACAAGAGCATCCTCCCCCCATGAAAGTCTTGGGGCAAGAGGAAAACACGAGAAGAAAGAGCATCTCAAATAAAAGATGTATCCACTGTAACTGCCCTCTCTCCTTTCTGCCCAGGAGCACAACACACCTCAACCACACAGGTGCAGGTGTCAAGTTCAGCCACAGGGGTTCAAAATGCAGGGCCCGTGGGGTGCAGCCTCTTGGAACCTGGAGTTGCTTCCCTTTTCTGGAGCTTCCCTTCCTATACAACATCTTGATTTCTATAGCTTTCCTTGAAGCCAGGCTCTCTCTTATCTGGTATTCCCAGATTTTTCACATTTTTCAAATTTTCATATTAATGTTTTGATGGACATCCCAAACACACATTAGCTACACAGAACAGTTTCTGTGATTAGGCTACCATCATTTCCAGGGCTGAAATCTCTGGTTGCTATCACCTACGGAAGCCAACCTGCCACTCTCTTACAGTTAACTAGCCCACATCATCTGTACAGTGAAATCTACTGCAGATCAATATTAAAGTCATTAAAATACACTGAACTCTGGAGAGTTTACCCACTGGCTTCCCTCACAGAAGTTCTCTGGTAACATTTCAGAATGAGCCACTCCAAATTAAGAGATGTCCCCATCTGACCAAGAATTAAATTCTGAGATTAATATTTTTGTTTGTGTGACCTATGGGAACCTTCTAGGAAGCATTCGAAGTAACAGAACAATAGCCATGTATAAGCCATGTGCACAGGGTCAGTTCTTCGTGACAGTGGGGCCGCTCGTTTTTGCACCCTCCCATGGTGAGGGTCAGAGGTGTGGGACCCTGTGGCCTCCACTGGGAAAGCTCAAGGCAGCAGCGTCCTGATTTCCAGGTGATCAGCTCTTCTTGCAGCAACACAGAAGGCTGGGTGCCTGCTGTTCCAAATTTCACCCTTTCTCGTCTCATCCTTCTCTTGCGTTGAATCCTCCCCCCCACCCTTGCCTCACATTTTTCATGGGGTGCTGGTCTCTTCTAGATCACATCGTCTGTCAGCACACTTTGTCTTCTGGCCAGCACGTCACTACTCAGACCTTTGGCCCCTCCATTGTTCATTTCCATTTTTCTCTACAAGCTTTGTTTTCATAGTACCAGAGACGTGTTCTGAGTATACTATCAGAAGCTGCAGGTTCAGAGTATAGATTTTTTTGAGGTCTGTTAATCAGCTTTTTTCTTGACCAAAGCACACTTAATTAAGGAACACCACCAAGATGTTCTGAAAGTATCTAAATCTCAGTCTACATTGCTCCACTCCATCCAGAATGGATGTGAATTTGGACTGCGTTTGAGGGGTGCTGGGTGGGTTCCTGGGCTGTTGATTTGTTACTGCCACCATCTTTGGAAACCATGAGGGGCAGGATGGAAAAGGTGGATGGTTTTGCAGTGTTTCAGGATGCTTCCTGATGACCAGCACATTGGGTAAGCCTTGCTTAGATGAGGCAACTAGCTATGTGGCTAATAGCCACTGAAATCATGGAGACAAAGACGAAGTCAAGTTGGCCTTCCCTAGTGTCCCAGAGTTGCGAGTGTCATACAGCACCATTCTCTACTAACTAGAGCCACGGAAGCCATATTTTTAAACCAGAGAGGTGAAAGGAATGTTCTGTCATGTACAAGTCTTCATATAAGTACTTAATACATGCACTGAAAAATATAGAGCAGATTCCCTTTGCAATGGAAATGGACATCTTGATGGACAACGCTCACTAAGATGAAAAGATATATGTTTCTTAAACAACTATTTTAGTAGGCTGCTGAAATACTTTCCCTAAATATTCACTTAACAGCTTTTCACAGAACTGAATGTAATGACTAGGTTCTCCTTTATTAAAAATGAATAGCTAAAAGTCAATATTTTGAGAGGAAAAGTACTAATATGGAAGTTCTTTTTCTTTGTTTTACAAACTATGTTATAGGCAGTTTTTCTAAAGTCAATTAACTTTTGGAAGTTAATTTCAAGCATTTGTATTTTGAAATAAGCCCTAGAAAGAAAATGATAACTGATATCAACTTGGTCTGTGTTATAAAGTTAACTTGAAAACAGCTATCCAAAACTTGAAAACAGCTATCCAAAGCATCTACCTGGAAAAAAACAGCTTTGATTAGTGTTTTCTTTGACCTTCACTAATGTATCAAGTACAGTTTTTGCATTCTTCTTATGATTTTTTTCCCTGACATCATGGTATTTAAATGGTGACCTAAAAAGTCAATATGCTGAAGCTAGTCAACAACTAGCAACAAAAACACTATCTTTTAAAGTGAAAAACCATGAAAGAATCTAAATCATCATGGACGGATGACTTAGAATTAGCCAGCAGGCTTTAGGATTTCTTCATTCTCCATTTTTTCAATTTAAATATTGTAATGTGCAGGCACGCTCAGGCAGGTATTTATTGAGTACTTACTCTGTGCCAGGCACTGTTCCAGGCTCCTAACAAGCATTCCTTGTTTAATCCTCATCACAAGCCTGAGAAACAGGGAGCAGAGGCTGGTGTGGTGGCAGGAAGAACAGTCCCACTGGTCCGGTACAATCCCCAGAGAAAGGGGAAGCGCCAGGTTCCCTGCTCCACCCCAGGAAGGATGGCGCTGGGCAGGGATAATGAAGCTAAAGAAGACTTGGGGGGAGGGTTTTTGAGGACTCTGCTTTAGCAAAATGCCTACTGAAGTCAGGAAGTGAATAAGCACGCCTCTGCCATCCCTCACCTACAGGGACATAGGAACAGCTATGGCGTTTTAAATTCAATTGACCCATGAGAGTGTACAGTGGTAGGACATTAGTCTGATTCAGTCCCACAAAGTTCTTAATCTTATTCCAAATGGTAGTGGGGACTCGGTACCTTCTTTTCGAAAAACAAAACAGTATTTTAAATAACCAACATTTTAATATTGTCAATTGTGGGAGTAGGGATCGCTGAGTCTATAAAACTTGTGTAGCAGTTTTCAATGTGTGCTCCATAAATCTCCGGGCACCCCCAGGTCTACAAAGGGTCTGCCGACCAAAGGTACTGTTACTAGAAAGGGCTATTGTATTACTAGCATAAGAAAGGGCAACTGTGCACAAGTGGGTCAGGCCGGTGGCCCTCAGATGGCATGAGGCAGCAGCCTCTGCCTGCAGCAGGAATCCCTGGCCCTCACCTGCACACTTCCAATACAGGGGGAAAACGTTTCCCTATCAACATCCCTGATGAAAGAGTAAAACTCATTCATTTTATTAAATCTCAACCTACAATGAATGGGAAGTGGGCAGAAAGAAGTGCACAGCAAAGTGTGGAGTGAAGGGGTGGCAAGAAAAAGCTCTTGGCCACTCTTTGTGTCGTGAGCTAGATGAACCACTTTTTTAATGTTTATGTGAAAAACGATTAATAATAAACTATGAATGTGCAGACTTAGGTATGGCAAACATGCTCTCAAAAATAAATAAAGGGAGCCTGACACTCCAAGGAAAGCAACTGATGGTACCTGTCCAGCTATAAAACGAGGGCTTTCAAGTGAAAACTGGAATTTTAGAAAACTTGTATCCCCTTCACTGTGAGCCTCACAGCTTTCCAAAGCCTGAAGGCTTCTCATTATAATGTACAGTGAAAATCTGCAGAAATCACTTCAAACCACCAATAAATGATGTTACAAAATTATGGAAGGGTTCGAAAATCCATTGGTAGCACAAGACAGACCAACATGTGATTTAACATAACATAGTACAAAGCATTCACCATGGCATCTTCAACAAACCACCACTTGTTGAGTTTTGGTGCAATATCAAAGAAGACGTCTCATCATTATCCAAAGTGTTTCTTAAGGAATCCCTCTACTTTTAGCAGGCTGTGTTCATTATAACTTTACCATTGCTGTGCTATCTTTAAGCAAAAAATGATAATTCAATTCTGGCTTATCATTTTTAGAGCGTTCTGCCGACCCTTTGCAGTGTGATACAAGCTATTCAGCATGGTTAGACAGCCTTGGCCCACCCCCCTGAGCCCTCTTCCAGCTTTGTTATCTTTGGCTTTAATAGCCACCTCTCTAACTTGGGGGGGGGGGGTAACAACCCATTCTTCATCTTGCCTCCCTGCTATGAAAGAGGAAGGGATCATCTCACACTTGCTTTGCTTCTCTTCCTCAGTTTCCCTTCTTGATTTCTTGGCTTTCACTGCAAAATTGACTATATTATTTTTGACATCAAGGTCTAGGGTACTTTTACTTTATGCTGAAATCGAAAATGAGCCTTTTGCATTTGTCTCTATAGAAATGCTAAAAACTTCTTAACTTAAAACATAATGATTATGTAAATAATATTCACTGCAAGAGCAAGCAATGTGATATAACCCTCAGAAAAGTAAATGTAATTCTCTGCTGTTAAATGTCAAAGGAGAACGTGTCAAGCAAAAAGGCATGATGGATTTTCTACTTATTGCTTCTGAATTTTCCAGAGCAGTGCTGCTGTTTAGTAGAATACTGTGTTTCTGACGAGAATGTTCTCTGTCTGCCTTGCTAGTGAGCACCTGGGATGTGCCACCGAGGGCCTGAATTTTGAACATTACTTAATCTCAATGACTTTAAATTTAAATATCAATAACCACATGTCACTAGTGGTTACTGTACCAGGCAGTACGTTTCTAGGTCATCTCCTACCATCTATTAGCTATTATCAACTATTACTGAGCTTCTGCTACAACAAGCACCCAATTTCTTGGGGGGCCACTATCTGTAAGCACTCTGATGGTCTTAATTGTTCTTTAAATATTTCCTCTAACCCTGCCGCCCCAGAGGCCCTAAAAGAAAGCTGTTACTACCCATTTAACAGACAAGAAACCATGATTCCCAGAGGTTAATTTCCCCAGTTGTCACACAGCTGGAAGAGGTAGCCAAGCTAGGAATTGAGAAGCCTACCACGCTTCCTCCTTGATCTTATTCCAGGGACCAGACCTTGTGTTATATGTTGGGAATTCATGAGTGAAAGAGCCCAAGTCTTATCCCAGAGATACAACCTAAGCCAGGTAGTGCACAGAATAAGTCAGGGATTGTGTGGTTTCTTTCTGGCTCTGCTGTGATTGTTTCCTGAACTTGACCATTATGTTCATTTTCACTGTTGCTGTGCAAGCAGGGCTAATTTATTTCTTATTTAACAGTAATGTATTAAAAATGGAGAAGATTTACAAAATTTTTATAAGGTACAAGGTAACTTAAACTTACCTCCTTTTGATAGGCCAGTCCAGCTTCATAGAGTTTAATAAAGAGATACTGAGTCCATTTGTAGTAATCTGGTAAACACGTAGTTATTTCCTGCCAAAGAGAGTGGGCAATCATGTTGAGACCACTACAAAATTCCCCTACCCCAATGTACTCATATAACCTTGCAATTCAACTTTGAAACGTGATCCCACTACAAAAATAATTATCAACTTATAATATCCCTACCAATTTATAAGTGAGGGAAGAAGTAATTTATTCCGGGAAGAGAGACATTACTAAAATGCTACCTTCAATTTTCCCAGAGAATATTCAGTGAGAGAAGCTCAACTTGCAGTCTTCTCTGCACCTCCTTCCTACTCCATATGATCAACAGATGGATTACAATGTACAAAACTGGGAATTACTCTTTGGGGGGCCATCAAGTTAATTCATGAATGTAATTCATACTGAAAGCTATCATAATAGTCAAGAGGAATGTCTGCCTGTTAGGAGGTCCCTCATTTGAAAACAAACCTGGTGTTTCTACAGGTAACTGAAGCCTGGTGGTGCCTCTTCCCTCATTACCATCTACTTACACCATTATGGGAATCAGGATGTTGTTGCCTTCTTCAGAAGCCCCATTAAAGACTTTACCAAATATGAAATTAGGTCAGTGAGAGCTCACCTAGCTGTTATTTCCAAACCTAAAATGAAGGCTCCCCAAAGTTATACTTTGTTGTGAAAATGCATTTGCTAATGTACTTTAAAACAGGTTACAAATGAGCCAGGCTGAAGGTTTGCAGTTTATAAAGTCAAGTAAGCACAAAATCCTCTGTATTGTAACCAGTTTCTCTTCTACAGCTCTTCTTTAACTTCACAAAGAGCTAACAGAGTGGATGTAGGGCAGGGGACATTTCCAGTGGTTCCACTTGCCATGAACTATTGATGGAAGACATCGTTCTATCCAAAGTGCAAACAACTCATCCTTTCTTCAGATGAATACGTGAGGAGAGAGTTTAAAACCCAGGCCGGGAGAGCCAGTGTGGCAGGAACTGAGCCAGCTGTCATGTAAACTGGCGTCCCAGTGGGCTATTTTTCTTCTGTAAGATTCTCATGTATTATAAGCATCTACGTAGTGTTTGACAAAAAAGTAACAGTGTAATAGCTATTGCAAAATAAGCACTCTACTCAGATCCATGGCTCCCTCCCTGCTGTGAGGTAGCTGTTGAACAACCAGCCAGCCTAACCCTCTGCCCACACTGTAGCTGCCCCTGCAGGGCGGGCGGTGCCCCAGCTCCACACCCAAGCTGGAGGCTGCTCTCGTGCCATGTCTGCAAGGGTGTGGTGCACAAAGCACGATGCCCGTTCAAGAATCAGACCAGCATGCCGGATGCATGCTGGGTAGGCTTGCTTCCCAAACCTCCAAATTCATCCACATTCCATCATCTTTGCCTCACAACCCTAGTACCTGCAGGCTCAGCACAGAACTCTGGAATGTTCTCCAGACAAGTCACTTAAGAATTTCCATTTTTAACAAAACCCAGGAGCAGGAAATATGTTTGGTCTATTTTGTTTATCATTGTATGTTCAGGTCCAGTCACACTGAGACACCTAAAATTACCGTTCTGTGAAGAATAAACTAAATAAATATAAGAATGTCTGTATACTGAGTCGAATTTGTATTCCGCATATAGATTCCATAGACCACCGTGAATTACACTGTGGGCCACAAAGTGAATCAGGACAGTGAGTGGAGTGGGGAATGCAGCAAAAAAGATCCCCAAACCTTGTCATAGCTTTTTTTTTTTTTTATTTTTTTATTTTTATCCAGCAGAAGTTTAACAAAATATCTGAAGTTGGGCCTACCTGGTAGCACAAGGGTTAGTCTCAGCACTAGCAAACTATGGGCAGCCACTGTAGCCTGTGTTGACTCCCTGGCCAGGGAGGTGGCCCACATAGCGCAGCAGGCCTCTCCTGTCTCACCCGCTGCTCCACTCACCAGTGTATTTCAGTAGATCTGCCTGTTCTGCTCTTTATCCCTGGTGGATCCTCTCTGGCCTGTACCCCAGTTTTGTATGCATAAATAAATAAAAATAAACCTCTAAAAAAAAAGAAATATCTGAAGCAAAAATAATATATGGTGGTAATTATTCAACTTAGAGGATGGAAGTTCTCTTTCCTCTGTTTTTCTGCGCATTGTGGTTTTTATAAGATAGCAGGACACTTCTAACGAATATACATGCATGTACAGCACTCATGCGCATCAGTGCACATCCATGTTTCCTCAGCCCTAAATCTGCCTGTATAAATTGAGAATAAAAACCACAGAACGATGAAACACCACTATTATCTTCACTGAGGTTTATGATTTTGAAAATCATTTATACCTAAAATAGAAGATGACAGATCCACCATCAAGGTGAGGAGGAGGGAGGAGCTATTTACTGCACCAAGCACTAGCCTACTTTCCATCAGACAAGGAATGTCAAGTGCATTCTGAGGAGCAGTGAGGTGGGGTGAGGACTGCAGGCCCCCTTCTTTGACCCTGGTTTCCAGCTGGGTCTGGCCTGCGTTCTTTATATTGATCTTCTGTACATGCTGTCTAAAGAAACGGTAACACCAGCTGCTAACAGTGGACAGCTTGAAAACCACTGCTCCAGGACCAAGGTCGTTTCAATCTTGGTGGTTTTATTTCAGTTCATGTTTGCTGCACTCGACTTACACTGCCCCTCACGCTGAAGTGCTTGAGTCACCAGCACAGAAGAGGCGAGGAGCATGTGAGGACAGGAACTGTGCTCCTGTCCTGGATTCCCCTCTGCCTCACGGGCCTGGACAGGACCCACCACACTGCCTACTCTGTGCAGAAATGTCGGGTTCTCACAGGAGTCCCGTCTCACCACAGCCAAACATGTCAGCGGATAGACCCTGCTCAGAAAAAACATCTCCTTAAACAAGTCATAGAAATTTTCTGGAATCTTCCATGATTTGCTGATTTAATAATACATCATACCTGTTGTTGTCATAAAAACAACGACAATAACAACAATAATAAACCAATAAAAGTGGTTCTTTCTAGTCTTCTAACGCCACATTTCAGTAAAAGTCACCAAAGGTATCTTTCTGAAATTAAATGCTTAAAAGTCTTAACTTTAGTTAACTGGGTAGAAACCAAGACTCCCTTTTTCCCTGGGAACTAAATACTTAGAAATGAGCCCAGTAGACAAGGGTCTTTGGAGAGTTCAGCACCACAAAGGTGTTAACAGTCCTTCCTTTTCCCAAAGCAGGATCCTCAATGGGAAAAACTGCTCCCCAGGGGCAGCTGGTAATGTCTGCAGACATTCTGTCAGAGCTGCGCTGGTGGGTAGGGGCTGCTACAGGCATCTAGTTGTAAAAGCCTGGGATGTTGCTGAAAATGTGCAAGACACAATGTGCAAGACAGCTCGTGGAACAAAAAATGACCTACCCCAAGTGCCAACGGTGTCAGTGGGACATACCTTGCTCTGAGGGTCTCAACCTGTCTAGTTGGAGACTGACAAGGAAGCACGAGCACAGCAAGTCTCTGACAGGTGGGCATTCCACAAAAGGGTTGTAGAAGTCACTGGGAAACATGGAAGCTCACAGCAGGTCTGTGGTGTGGGAATGCCTGTTACCCACATCTGCTCACAAGCTGTGGGCACCAGTGACTTGGCAAGACTTCTTAGTGAGGCTACCAGAGAAGCTAACTGTTAATCTTGTCTTTTAATATTTTTAAAATTTTATGTAGAGGGCCCTCCCTGGTGGCACAGCGGGTTAAAGCACAGCATTGAGAATCTAAAGCCGCTTCCGCATGAGTTCGATTCCCACCTGCCCCGGAGGTGACCACATGGTGTGGCAGACCTCTCCTGACCCGCCCGCTGCTCCCCTCAGCAGTGTACTTCGTCTGTCTGCCTGTTCTGTTCCCCACTCTGTCTCTGGTGAAGCCTCTCACCGCCCCTGAGCCTCTGGCCTGTACCCCAGTTCTGTATGCACAAATAAATAAATCTTTAAAAAAAAAATTTTTTTTATGTAGAAGAATTGGGATGTAGGTCTGAGCGTGGAGGACTGGGAGGGTTCGAGGATTCACCAAAGACAGAGTGAGGAGCAGAACAGACAGTTCTATTGAATTATACTGCTGAGGGGAGCAGCGGGAGAGACAGGAGAGGTCTGCTGCGCCATGTGGGTCAGCTCCCTGGCTTGGGATCGAATTCAAGCTGAAGCACTTACAGCACTGAGATTTGAACCTCTAGGCCGCCAGGGAGGCCCCACCAGAGAAGCTAAAGGCAGGCTGTTCACAGAACCCCCACATCCCTCTCACTCAGCTCTCCTCTGTGCTGTTTTCCAAATGCACCAACCAGGTGGTGTACCCTTGTTTATAAACCAAAAGTCAGGTTATTGAAAGCTATAGTTCTAAAAACAGCTGCAGTTCAGCTGTCCTTCACACAGTCTAAAGGAAAGTGTTAACATTTATACACCCCAAGTTCTGGAAACCATAATCTGCTGCTGAGAGACCAAATTCACATATCTGATCTCAGCTAAAATCACCCCTCCATGCTGCCACTGTACACTCCACAATACCCGAACTGTAGAGTTAAGACTGTTTTGCACACTCACCCAGAGCCCGACAGAGCCAAACCCAGAGCCAGAGCTCTCTCAACACCCAAGTGAGGCTCAAAACTTCCTGTGAGACCCATTGCCCACACCTCAGTGCCCAGATTAATAACTAGGCCAGCCCTGACAGGAGCTCCTGTGGCAGTGATTCCACAGTGCGAAATGCGGGAGGCTGAGCCACAAAGGCCTACTCTCAGCTCCCTGAGAGAAAGCAGCATTTGGTCTTTGAAGGAAGAATCACGGCCACCAGTCACCTGCGTTACCTCACTGAGGTCTCCTGGGGTAGCCAGCCTGGCTCTAGGGAGAGTCTGAGAGAGCAAACAAAAGGAAAGACATGCTGCTCTGGAGCCATCTGTCTTGGGTTCGAGTCTTAGCATCATCATGAACTTTGTGCCATAACTAAGCGTCCCTACCAAAAAGACAAGGCCCAGGAAGATGTCTGATACAGGTGTTGTGAAGAAGAACACAGCCGTGTCTGAAGCAGA